GAGAGAGAGAGAGAGAGACATGAGAGAGGGAGGGAGAGATAGATAGATAGATTATTAATTTGGAGATTTTCTTTCCTGATATGTTTGCTGCCATTTCTAAAAAATAATGCAAATGGGGTGAATTGAGGGAGGGAGGGAGGGATAGATAGACAGAGAGAGAGAGAGAGACATGAGAGAGGGAGGGAGAGATAGATAGATAGATTATTAATTTGGATATTTTCTTTCCTGATATGTTTGCTGCCATTTCTAAAAAATAATGCAAATGGGGTGAATTGAGGGAGGGAGGGAGGGATAGATAGACAGAGAGAGAGAGAGAGACATGAGAGAGGGAGGGAGAGATAGATAGATAGATTATTAATTTGGATATTTTCTTTCCTGATATGTTTTCTGCCTTCTAAAAAATATTGCAGATGGGGTGGATGGATGGATGGATAGATAGAAATAGGTAATAGAGATGATGATAGATAGATAGATAGATAGATAGATAGATAGATAGATAGATAGATAGATAGATAGATAGATAGATAGATAGATATGGAAGGATGGATGGATAGATAGAAATAGATAATAGAGATGATGATGATGATAGATAGATAGATAGATAGATAGATAGATAGATAGATAGATAGATAGATAGATAGATAGATAGATAGATAGATAGAGATGGAAGGATGGATGGATGGATAGCTAGCTAGCTAGAGGATTTTCAAAAGCTGAGATCTAGGGTAGTAGAAACTGTTTTAGCCTTTCGTGCCAAAAAGATGCCCTCGGATAGTTAATCCCAAAACGGGGTTAATTCAGCTGCCAGAACAAGTGTGCTTCGTCAGTGGCATTGATGGTTGCCCTCCAGTGCTGTTGGCTAGGCGTGAATGCTCCTCACTGGGATTTTGGGATCTTACTTTTTTAAAATCATTTTCAAAAGAAGGAACAAAGGATACCACCCATGTTGGACGGGTGTGGCCCCAGAGGCCTCCTTCGCCTGAGGGCTTCCCCACGACTTCTAAAACATACATCGAACCTTGTAGGAAAAGTAAAAAAAACCCTCCTAAAAACCAGAAGCTTATAAGGAGGAAGCCGCTCTCAACTTACGACCACACATTTCCATGGCTAAGCCGGTCAGTTGTTAAGTGAATTTTGACCCGGGGGGGGGGTCTCCCTTTCGCTCTCTAATTCAATGTTTCTCAACCTTGGCAAATTTAAGACAGATGGAGACCCAGAGTTCCTAAAACCACCAAGATAGAAAACAACAGACCCATCATCACTGGGAGGGCAAGACGCTGTATGTAGAATAGAAAGCCAACTCTCCTCCTTTGCAGCACTGATGATGTTACGTAATTGGGTCATGAAATATCTGCAGGAAACCACCAAGCTTGGAGAGCACCAAGGACCCTACAGTTACACCCCTCACTTCCTCCTCACTTCCTCCTCACTTCCTCCTCCTCCTCCTCCTCCTCCTCCTCCTTTCCACAAACTCTACTCCTAGCACTGATGATGTTCCCTAGTTGGGTCATGAAACATCCGCAAGGAAACCACCAAGCTCAGAGAGCACCAAGGATTCCACAGTTCAACCCTGACTACAAATATTCTCTTCTATCTGTTTGTCTGTCTCTGTCTGTCTGTCTGTCTATCTATCTATCTATCTATCTATCTATCTATCTATCTATCTATCTATCTATCTATCTATCTATCATCTATCTAATCTATCCTCCCATCCATCCATTAGCCATCCATCCATCCATCTATCATCTATCTATCTATCTATCTATCTATCATCTATCTA